ACTCGCACTGAAGACAGTGTAGAACCAATCTGCATCAAGCTAGGATCATTCTCAGTACTCACATTAACAAACATGATCTCATTCATTAAGGGCTTAGCACGCCTCTCTTTCTCTCAATTGGTCAAATTTTTGCAAATCCCGAGGAATTCCTCCCTCTTTGTTTTCATCACAGTGTTCAAAAAGTTTTGAAAAACTTAGGTCAATGCAATGATTTCAAGGCACAGAAAAGTAGACGAAAAGCACTGCCATTTCATTCAAATTTGTTGGCACAACTGGCTTCACGACAGAAAAGGACTCAAAAGAAAGCAAAAAGACAAACACAAAACAAGCAAGTGATGTCCGAGGTAACAACCTCGGAATCACCTGACTCTATACAACAGGACTGACTCGATACAACAAGACAGACCCTAACCAAAAGACTGACTCAGAACAGTGAGACAGACTCAAAACAAAACAACAGAACTGACTCAACCCCCAAGTCAGAAAGTACAAAACTAGCATTCGCAAATGCTCAAAATAGTGCGTGCCAGATGCCACATCTGAAGTAAACTGAATGTCGCCCGCAGGTGGTTCATTTCCTGATCACATCAAATTATCCTCCAAGTTCACTGTCCCAGTAACGATAGACTTTGCTGAGCTTGGTGGGAGGATAACCACATTGTTAATCAAATCCTGTACTTCGTTATGAAGGCGGAAGAAATTGTCCGTGCTGTGACCAGTTTGTTGATGGTATGCACAGTACTGGGTAGCATCATGATTAGATGGAAGACGACTAGGGAGGGGCCGAGGCTCGAGGGGTTTGAGATGCCCCTTTTCAGTGAGGATTTGAAGAGCTTGGACAAAGGCATGTAGAGGGCATGGAAGACCCTGTGACCTCGGGGTAGATATTTTCGAGTTTTGGGGATTTTTGCTGGACGCACCGGCGAAGGGGTCAGTAGGTGCTAACTTGGTTTTCCGATCTTTCCCGAATGCAAAAATAGGGTTGGAAGGAACGATTCTGGTATGACGGTCCTTTTCCCTTAGCTCGAACTACTCTCGGTCTGAGTGGGGAAGATGTCATCCACAGTTTTAGCAACAACTGTGAGTACTTGTTGTTTGTTCAACCCCCCAGCTTTCAAAGCCTCAACAGCTTGCATAAGTTGTTCATAGGGGTCAGTGACTACCCCCACCTTGCTCTTACCACTTGCCTCAGCTTGGTGGAAGGTCTAGGTTGCTACTTCAGTGCGAAGCGCTGTTGTCATAGACATGCCATTGCCCATGCTTGGGATGGCTTCAGGGTTGACTGAGTTCAATTACAATTTGCCCCAATAGCGGAGGCTCTTCTGGTATGAAGTTCCTGGCGTATGAGGTGGTCAATGGTAGAGCCGACATTCCGTAGGCTAGATCTGCAACAGATCTCTGAAGATAGCCAATCATTCACATTAGCTCAACAGTGGTGGGCTCACGGGTTTGAAATAGTTGGGGTTCCCAGATCGGATGTGCGGCAGGTGACCTGGGCCGGTGTGGCATGTCAACATCGATCTAACCCTACATGGCGATTCCCTAGTTTAACGCTACTGTCATGATCACAGTTTCTTTTGAATTTTGCATCATCACGAGTGTGCTAAACTAAACAGAGGTGATATGATTGGTGATTAACGGATCAGATGAACCGGTGAGCTTTGACTGAGCTCTTTCTGCCTTGACTCAGCGAAGGAGAACAATGGTTGCTCTGAATTGAATATCTAAACTGAAAGAGAAAATAGGCAGCATCTCAGCCCAATTTCACCAGAACAGATATAAATATAACTGAACAACTGTATTCGGTCACTAATCACTGTTCCCCAAATCACTACCTCAATACTAATCTGATACCCACAGATATAACTGATTCTCAACTACTGATACTGATGCCCGCAGGCTTAATACCCTGACTTGCAAACTGATACGTGCATTCCTATAGAGGCACACTCTAATAGCATATAGCAAGCAAATGAGAGCCAAAACACCCCTATGGAGGGGCAGGGTTTCCCTGTCCTTGTTTCATCAAGAACAAGGGTTTCACTACGCACACAGCGGTTTCAAACAACCCACAATCGGGTAAGCAACCTGTCGTAGCTTGGGATAGTCACTATGGATTCCGATATGCACTAGGCCAAATGGTCAAAAAGGGTGCCCTAGTAAAACCGGGGTTTGTGTTCTCATTGTGGCAGAGCCCGCAATCGGTCAGCCTTATGGCACGCTTCTCAAAGCAGACCTCTGGCAAACCGTTTAGGAATAGCATATGGCAAACACGGTGTCCTAGGCACACCAATGCAAATGCAAATGCAACGAGACACATAAGTGTGAACAACACAAGATATCATGAGTTCGAGTCAAGTTCTCTAAACTCCCCAGCAGAGTCGCCAGAAACTGTAGACGCACCCCGGGGGCCTCTTGCTACAGTTTGGACTCAAATGTCACGGTTCTGAATCTAATCCTGCAAAGTGCAATGCGACACCGATAAATCACCAAAGAGTCCAAATCTGGCAAATCGTTTTGGAAAACTGATTTTTAAGAAAGAAGTGCCAAACATGGACTGCTTTGTCAGATACAGAGTTGCCACCTAAATATTTTATTTTGGGGAAATTTAGGAAACCCTGACTCATTGCCTAAGGCCACGTGTCCATCATCACCAAAGTTGCCTCGGCTCAGGAACTTGGGTATGATTGGGGAAGGTCATCTATGAGCACCCCCGCTTGCTCGATCAAAGATCGGCCTGTACTAAGCATGATATTTTATTTTTGAAAACACATGTGTTCTTATTCCGGTTATTAGCCTAGAATTACTATGTGATGCGCACAGCACACAAGTATAGACTAGATCGCCGAAGTTGGAACAAAACATCACATATCCGTTTGTTTGAAAATGGTTTGAAGGTGCTACTCGCAAGGAGGCTAAGACATGGATTTGCCACCCTCAAGTGGGCTTAGAAAATATGATTTTGCCACTCTCAAGTGGGCTTAAAAACTCGCATTTCAATGAGAGTTATATCACATAAGCAAATAGCCTCATGGCAAGCACGCTATCATGACAATCACTCACGCGCATGCAAGATGCTAAAGCATAAACACTCACAATGTACTCCGAGCCAAAACAAGAAACTAGTTAGAAATCATGCATGATCCTAGTTCATGTTTAAGATGGCTAATGCAACACATGCAAAATGCAACTAGAATAGGCTCGGCTAGTCTAAGAATGGTATGTGAAATGCGACAACTCGATACACGTATTCAAGTTGGAATTGAAACACTATGCAATTAGTACGATGTGCTGAGCTCGGTGCGTGCAATACAGGTGAATGAATGCAAACATGCGAGCATAAGGATGCTAATTGAAACATGCCCTAAACTAACCATCAAAAGCAGGTACGTAAAAGGGAGAAAGACGTGGGATTGGAAGACATTCACACACTCACGCACACTTATTAAAAAATTCGCCCTCTTGACGAAGGGTCCGAAAAAATAATACAAACCAAATGATTAATCAACTATCCTAGCTAATTAATTATTACAAATCCTTAATTAATTAACAAATTAATTACAAAAGGAGGCCGCCGTAGCTCCACCTCGGAATGATTGAATGATGCATGCTCGATTGCCTCGCTCGGAAACCCGTTGCCATGCCACATGTTGCCTCTCTTTGCACTGTTTTGCTCCTTTGAAAACTGAACAAGTCCCAAGGATGTTTTTGAACCACTCCCTAAGAACTGTGTGATGTCACCAGCCAAGAGATAGGACCACCGGCCATTGTAAAATGGTTATCGACCATTTGTAAGGCTCTCGGCCAGATTTTGGTAGCCGGCCGACACTGAAGATGGCCGACCGACCATATCTTTCTGCAGAATTTTGTCTTTGCTGCAGCAGAGGACATACAGTGCATGGCAAGGCATTTACAAGATAATGTGTGCATAACCACCCTCCCTATCATGCTATAAACTCAAGGGAGTATGGCTCTTGACCCTCGGACCACCGATCATGCATTTCAATGCATGATGGCCAAAGGTGCCAAGTGTGCAAATTAATGTGGAATGAATGCAACAAAACATATGAATGACTAGAACTCTATCATGCTTGATCAAGAGTGTCGACAACCGAGGATCGGGACATGTTTCGTCACTTCAAGTATGAAACATCCCTCGGCCCTCATGTTTGGTTTGACACCCCAAACCAAACACAATGCAATGTATGTATGCCAAATACAATGCAACATGGAAAAGCAATGTTATGCAACCTAAGCATGCCAAATACAATAGGACTCAAGTATGCACACAAGACTAAGGTAGCAAGCATGCCAAATGCAATGCAACCTCAGCATGCAAGTTAAACTAATGTAACATGGGCAAACCAAGTATGCAACAATGTTATGTAATGCAATTAGCCAAATATCATGCGATATACCAAACATGCAAACATGATACAATACAAGCATGCAAATATCATGAAACCAAACATGCTCAATGGCCTTAAACTGAAATGGGTAGACCTCAGCCATGCCAAAAAAGTGGCCAAAGTCATGAATTGGGAGCATGGAAATGCAAAACGAACATGCACATGCAAATGGTCCAACACTTAGGCAACAATGCACAATCTTCAAGCATGAGCAAGATGTGATAAACACGAGAGTATGGCAATGCATTAAGCTCTGAAATCATGTGAGGAGTGATGCCAAACCAACCAAACAAAACAAATGTAGCATGCAAGGAGGCCTAATGCTTAAGATGTGAGGATTCCATATCAACAGAAGAAAATGTTTGGGTTTGTTACCTTGTCTACCTAGAAACTGTTAAGCTCATTCTTGCTAAAGGGAACCCTCATTTTGTATGTGATGCACGGGTGCTTGTGAAGCCATACAAGGAGAAGGGCAAGGTCCCTGACAAATACAGGCACTCCCTCTTCTCTTCTGTCTGTGTTTGTGTGTGTGAATTTTGTTTCTGTAGATATAAGCATTCTCGTGGTTTCTTTGTTAATGTCAATGGGAAATTGCAGGAAGCTGCAGCATCAGCAGCAACAAATGGAATGAGGAGAGTTCTCAGCATGTGGTGGCCCTACTGGCTTAGATTCAAGAGACCCTTATGATCTCCAGCATGGTAAGCAAAAATGTGCATTGTTTTCGCTCCATTCACACATACATTAAAGCTACCAATGTCCATGGTTTCATCCCTGGTTGTTGCAAGCCCATTCATATTATGTCACTGATGTTTGGGGTTTGTTTTTCAAATTTAGGAGCAAGGATGTTTGGATATACTTCCCAAGCTAAGACATATTGTGGAGAAAGAAACTGGTGGAACAAGTTGACTTGCAGCAAGCCATTGAGCTCCAAGGTCGGAGACTGATGGGTCTGCGACTTCTTGATGTAAAAAGGCACAATCACCACCGTACATATTTAACTTCTTATAGTAGTGATACTTTTTATTTAATTCCTTTATATATACTTTTGAATATATTTAATTTTTATTATGAAATATATGACGTTATTCCATTCAATATGTGATTGTGATTCAAAGTATAATATATAGTGTGTATTACATTCTTGAAATGCGTGTATAAAAATAATATTAATTATTCTTCAAATATGTCGAACCTTTTTTTTATTACACGCATTAACTGTGATGAGAAATACATATAACATGTGATCTTATCTCATTATTAATCACAGGTTTTATTAGATATTAATCACATTTAAAAGATGTGATCTAAATGTTTATTATTACATATTTTATTAGTTATTAATCACACTTAAGAGATGTGATTTAAATATTATTAATCACATTAAAATGTGTGATCTAAATGTTTATTATCACAGTTTTTATTAGTTTTTAATCACGCTTAAAAGATGTGATCTAAAAGTTATTAATCACACTTAAAAGATGTGTTTAAAAATAATGATCATTTTTAATCACATTCTCAAAGATCACACTTTGATAAAACTTAAAAAGTGATTAAATATAATAGATCACACAAAAAAAAGTGTGATCTTTATTTATTTTTATAGTAATAGTACTAAAGAATTTGTAGTTGATCTAAACTTTGCACGAGTTAAGGGCTTAAAAAAAAAAGGGGGCGGACACAAGAGTGGGAGTAGATTAAAAACTTGGCATGAGAAGAACACTAAGAGAACAAAAGTTCTTCGTAACCTACTCGCCTTACTCAGGTATTAAATTTGCTAAAGTACTTGATTTCAAATTGGCTAGATTTATTTTAAATTTTGCAATGTACTGATAAATGTTTTACAACCTCTTTAGAGCATTGGCTAGTCAAGCGACACTAGAAATATTCAGAATTCATCTTCAAATCACACACCGGTGAGATCTTTTTATTGAAATCATATTACTTAAGTACATAATGATCATAAAATTACTAACAATATTTTATGGACTAGGGTGTTGAGATACCCTATTGGCCACAACTAATGAATTTCGAATATAATCTGCTCATGCACAATATTAATTTTGCATGCCCGCCAACTTATCTACTATTAACGCCTTTGTCTTCCCAAGCATCATACAATCCACGAAGTTCTCAGGTGTGTAATATACTTGTTTGTGATCTAGATTTTTTGTTTTACATACATGTGTATTTAATTCCAATGCATTTCCTTATACCTTTTTTTTTTTTTTTTTAAGGGATTAGAATTTGATCTAGTAAAGCACAGTCCCATCGTGGCTGAGTCGGTCTTTCGTAATGATAGTTTGTTTGATTTTTTCAGTCATTCGGAACCACCCCCGCAAAATTGAAATGTAAACATTTATCTAGCGGGTCACCATTTTGCTTTATTTTTTAGAATTAAATTGAAATGGATTTAAGGTTTATTTAAGGAGAAGTCACTATTATTGTGTTTTATTTTTATTTGTGTCAGTTTGTCTGGGTTAAACTTGATGAAACGACGCCGTTTCGGATCAGCAGTACCCCCGAATCCACACACTTCACATCACTCTCTCTCTCTCTCTCTCACACACCACACACACTCACTCTCTCTCTCTCTGTCTCTCACACACACTAGCACACGCCGCACTTTTTTAATAAAAAACAAAACAAAATTTATCTTATACTTTTCCGTTTTTATTTTATGTTATTTTACTTCACATCACACACTCACTCTCTCTCACACACACACACCTCACACACTCACTCTCTCTCTGTCTCTCTCACACACACTAGCACACGCCACACTTTTTTAATAAGAAACAAAACAAAATTTATCTTTATACTTTTTCATTTTTATTTTATTTTATAAAATATATAATTTTAATATATGAATCTGATTTTATAAAATTAATATTATTTAAAAAAATATTGTTCAAATAATTAAAATGAGATTAGTATTGAACATAAATAAAGGGAAAATTACACTAACGTCCCTATAGTTTGGGACTCGTGTCACTTTGGTCCCTGACTTTTCAATTGTTATATATTTGATCTTGAATTTTGAATCTTGTTTCAAATAAGGACAATTGAAGATACCATTGTTTAATTTCAAAGGCAAAATCGTCAATTTAATAAAATATAAATTAATTTGACAAAAATAAATGTCAAAAAAATATTTTTAATTTTTTAAAAATTATTTTTATCCACTAATGATAAAATTATATAAAATTGATAAAAATTAATAAAAAGTACATGATTAATTTTTAAAAATTAATTTTACATGATCATCATCCAAACACATAATAAAAATTAACTTGGTAAAAAAAAATGTCTCAAAGATTTATCAATTTTATATAATTTTATTTTTAGTGGGTAAAAATAATTTTTAAAAATTCAAAAATATTTGTTTGACATTTATTTTTGTCAAATTAGTTTATATTTTATCAAATTGGTAATTTTACCCTTAAAAAATCTAATGATATCTTCAATTATCCTTATTTGGAACAAGATTCAAAATTCAGAGTCAAATGTGTCACAATTGAAAAGTCAGGGACCAAAGTGGCACAAGTTCCAAACTATAGGGACTGTTAGTGTAATTTGCCATTTTCTAAAAATTTGTCGGATTTGCACTCTCATTTGCTTAAAATATGAATTTCTTCTCTAATTTGGAAAATTACAAATATCAATCTATCAAAAAAATTTATTTAACAGAATTAACTAAAAAAATAAAATTCATAATTGTTCTTTCATATAATAGTAAAATTATGGATAAATTACACTCACCTCTCATGTGATTTCTAACAATTACAGGGACCTCCCATGTATATTAATATTAATTAAAACCATATAAATAAAAAATAATAATATTCAAACTATATAAATATTAACTCAAATTGCACAAATACAAAGTAATAATATTCAAATCATACATATATTACTGAAACCATATGAATAAAAAAAAATATTCAAACCATACAAATGTTAACTCGAACTATACAATAAAAATAATAATTAAATCATTATTTTATATTTCTAGTAAGTACTTTTTTATATTTTTAGTAAGTATTTTTAATTTGTACAAAAAAAATAAAAATTTTAATATAAAAATATATTATTTTTACCGTGATAGACAAATAAATACAAAAAATATTTTTTAAAATTCTAAAAGATTACTTTTGTTCTAAAAAGAGAAAATCATATTCAAATGATGTTCTTTTTTAAGTTTTTCAACTTTATTCACCAAACTAGTTTCGATTTCTTTTATTTAATTTGATAAGAAATTATAAAAATTAAAAATAAAACACTTTATATTGTACTTGAACTTGAAGTACGTTGCACATAGATTGAACTGTAGGTCAAACTTGCACCCATGGCCAGGTACGACTCGCGCTCTGCCGAAGGCAGTAATTCTTGGGTGAATGAGTTTCTTGCTCTTTGTGATTATACTGATGGCCGAGAAGATGAAGTCGAACAACCTCTGCTGAGGACGTCGGCTTCTATCGTCGACGGTGACTTTCTTCTCCTCCGTCTATTTTACCTTTATGTTTTATTTTTTGTCCCTCACCTCAATTCTATTAAACTCATTAAAAAAAAAAAATTCTTTCTTTTTCAATTCAATTCTGCTTTGTTTAGGGGTTTCTTTATTCACTCTTTAATTTTCAATTTAATTAAATGCTAGGCGAGGATCTCAAGCAAAAGATCGAACATGTGCTTAAAAAATTACGCAGTCGGCAATCTGGGCAATCTGGGCCTTTGCTGGTTCAATTTTGGACATCCAAAAAATCGAACGGCCGGTATTCTCTTAAAACTCAAAATTCACCATTTTTTCTTGTAACAAATGATGATACACTTTGTGTGTATCGGTGGATCTCTGGCGATCGTGACATTAACTTGCATGGAAAGTGTGAAGAAGACGCCTCGCTTCCCGGCAGTGTATTCTATAGCCAAAAGCCGTCGGTTTGGTCTGCGAATTCTTTAGCATCTTTCTGTTTGCCTGTAAATTTGCTTGGGTATGAACCACCTTCCTATCCTATTCGCCCAAAAAGAAAACTTTCATATCAGAATTGTGTTGGTATACTTGAAATAGTATCCAACACCGAAGAGCTATGTCTACAATTTTTCAAGGAAGCTCATGTTTGTGACCTCTTTCAGGTTTGTCGCCAACCCAACCCATATCTTAGATATGTTCAATTTCATGTTAAAAAAAATAGTATTTTCTTCTATTGGCAACTGTTCTCAACATTTTTAAGTTTTCAAAGGATTCATGAGTTGTATCATCTTTTTTATTATTCCCTTGCAGAAGAAAGGTTTGATATGTTCAGATGTAGGACTTGAACCCTTGGGCATGAAAGTAAGTGGCAAAAATTGTAACGCATAAACGTCAAGTATAGTATTGAGTGATTGTTCGGTGATTTTGGAGAATTACTCCACGCTGTTATCCTTTGATACTTGTCAAGTTATCTCCCAAAATTTTAACCTGCAACTTTAACTAATAAATATGGCTTGAAAATTGATATATTAAATTCAAGTTGTCTTTCAAAATTTTATGAAAGCATAAAATATTAGGGACGGCTATTTTTATCTATGTGGTCAATAGTCCCTCACTTACTACCAACCATTATCTTAGACATGTTCAATTTCATGTTAAAAAAATTAGTATTTTCTTCTATTGGCAATTGTTCTCAACATTTTTAAGTTTTCAATGGATTCATGAGTTGTATCATCTTTTTTATTATTCCCTTGCAGAAGGAAGGTCTGATTTGTTCAGATGTAGGACTTGAACACTTGGGCAAGCAAGTAAGTGGCAAAAATTGTAATGCATACATGTCAAGTATGGTATTGAGTGATTGTTTGGTGATTTTGGAGAATTACTCCACACTGTTTATCCTTTGACACTTGTCAAGTTATCTCCCAAAATTTTAACCCACAACTTTAACTAATGAATATGGCTTGAAAATTGATGTATTAAATTCAAGTTGTCTCTCAAAATTTCGGACAACTACATTCAAACATTATCATTTTTTTCGACAATGTACTTTCAAATGAAGTAATTTTTTTTTTCCATTTTATATTCCAAATTCGTAAATTGCATACTAAATTTGCATGCAAATTTGTCTTTATAATACCATTTCAAATTTGTAATGTTATACAAAACATGTAGCGGGATGTCTCAACTCAAGGAAGTCAGATTCCCTCCACTTATTCAGTGAATCAGACCAGGCAAATTTAGGACTGAACAAATTAGCTCAACTAAACTTATTACTATACGTAAATGTATAAAAAAAAATTTTATGATATTGATTTGACTTAATATGTAGGTTTTCAATAGCAAATATGAATTGCTCAATTGGGTACGTGATGTTGCCAAGAATAATGGTTTTGGCGTTGCTATTAAGTCAGCGTCCTGTGATAAGACACCAAGCATTTATCTATCTTGTACGAGTGGCCAATATCAAGCAACCAAATGTCCTTTTTCTATGAAGTCATCGGCAACAAATGAAAAATGGTCATTGGAAGTATGGAACGGATGGCATAGCCATCCACTTGCAAAGCATCCCAAAGGATAATTCATATGCAGGGAGATTTTCAAGTAATGAGAAATCATTGTTAATAGATATGTTGTTGTCATGATGGAACATTTGTTTGATATGAGTTTTATGTTTGCTAGATGTTATTTTAGTTAATGGTTGAACAATTGGCATGTTCGTAGTTTGAAAAATTAGAATATGTTTGCTTAATGTTATGTTTTTGTTTAATTGGTAAATATTATGAGAGCAGTTTGTTTGATGGGTATGTTATTATTGTTTTTAAAATTTATGACAGGTTGAATTTTTTTGAAAATTTATATAATTTTTCTTGTAAACAGATTATGTGAAACCGTGGTTCAAAACCTAATCGAACCGTGTTTAAATGGTTTGGTTTGGATTGGTTCTATGATTTTAATGGTTTGGTTTAGTTCCAATTTTTATAGAACATTGATTGGTCTTGATTTTATCCCAAACCGATCCAAATTGAAATAAAACTAGACCATACACACTCCTAGTCAGACTAGTTACGTTAAAAAATAGGTATGCCTTAATTGAGCCAGATGTTAAGCCCAATACATGCAATCAGGGACACAAGATGATCAATAACTCTACCCATCGTAACCCGTATGCATTTGAGTTGGTTGAATTTGGACATGATAGTTACTCATCAAGAATACTCGATTAACGACATTACCTTCTGTCCAAGCAAGGAAGAAGTGATGTGTGAAGGGGATGATAATTAATAGATTAGGTAAATCTAGTGCATATGTTGATGCTCTCCCTATTGGTTTGAACGCAAACATGAAGTATATCAAGGATGTAAATGCGATAGTAATTGAGGCTTCAGGCTATTGCTAATTTAATAGGTTTTACAGAGAATGCATGGTTTCAAGTTAGGCATGATTTACTAGGCGAGTTGCACCCACAAAGAGGAATACACTGCACTTTATGAGTCATATGGAAGTGTTCAGGCGCTGACACACATCCTGTCATACTTTGAAGGCAACCTTGACTATGAGCATTGGGTGATTATGTCAAACATGAGACATCTTATTATGTCATGCTATAACGTTATATTGTACTATTTATCTGTACAACAATTTTTTACCTTTTTACCTTTGAGAATAGTGCCAGTGTCTTAACTTGAGTGTCGTGAGATTGCCATCGAGTTTGTTAAAGAAATTTATTTTGTGCAGGTACAACAAATTAATCTTGTTTGTATTTATTAATTTATCAATTAGTTGTACATAATTATAACTGATATTTTTGTTTTTTTTGTTTTGTTTTGTTTTTTTTTGCGACGTTTGAGACCTTCACTAATAATACTTTTCGTGACATTAACTACTGTCTCTAAAAAAATTTGGTGACAACATCCTTAACCATCGCTAAAAGTGATGTTTTTCTCATTTTTTTTGTGTCAGGTTAAACCGTCGCAAAAATCATTCATTTACCGTCACTACGAGAAAGACACAGTTTGTAACCGTCGCAAATACCTTTTGTCACGCCCCCTTCTGCCAACCCTCATTTCCCGTCGCTACTCCGTCGTAAAATTTGCGACAACATGTTGACCTTTTACGACGTTCTCTCTCTTCAT